AGGCTGAGGCAGGAGAATCGCTTGAACCTGGGAGATGGAGGTTGCAGTGAGTCAAGATCGCACCACTGCACTCCGGCCTGGGCGAGAGAGAGACTCCATCTCAATATAAAATAAAATACAATAAATAACATAAAAGTCTGTTTTGTTTATTTTGAAGTGCAACCCACATGTAGGAAGGAACACAGAACACATGACACAGCCCAGCACACTCCACCCAGCCCTGCCCGGCCCCACGAATGCAGGACTGCTCACACTGCCTGCCGTGATCACACAGGTCCATCCTCCCCGGCTGGGCGTCGTCCCCGGGCTGGTCCGCTTGCGCCATCCTCCTCCAGTGGACATTTGGGTGTTCTCAGCCTCTGCGTGTGAGGCACGCCATGTGCGCCATGCTGCAATCGTTCTGAACGCAGACAGGAACGCCGGCCCGTGCCACCCCGTCCCAGGGCACTGAAGAGCCCAGAGCCTCGGTGGTGGAGATCAGGTGCCCCGTGACGTTTTGTGGGTTTTTGTTTTGTGTGAGCTGCTTTTGTTAGATTTATCCCAGGGAATCTGACATGGCTGATGCTGTTGTAAGTGACTTTTGAAATGGTCATTTCTGGCCGGGTGAGGTGGCTCACAGCTGTAATCCCAGCACTTTGGGAGGCCGAGGTGGGTGGATCATGAGATCAAGAGGTTGAGTCCGTCCTGGCCAACATGGTGAAACCCCGTCTCTACTAAGAATGCAAAAGTCAGCCGGGTGTGGTGGCGCGCGCCTGTAGTCCCAGCTACTGGGGAGGCTGAGGCAGGAGAGCTGCTGGAACCCGGGAGGCGGAGGCTGCAGTGAGCCGAGATCGAGCCCCTGCACTCCAGCCTGGGGACAGGGCAAGACTCTTTTTCTTTTTTTTTTTCCTGTCATTTCTGTTTGTTGCTGTTGGGAAACAACTGATCTCTCACTTGGGCTCGTGCTGAGCATTGATGCCGAACCGTCGGTGAATTCTGTTTTTTTTCTCGCTCTGTTGCCCAGGCTGGAGGTACAGTGGCATGATCCCGGCTCACTGCAACCTCCACCTCCTGAGTTAAAGGGATTCTCTGCCTCAGCCTCCCAAATCAGACTACAGGCACGAGCCACGACGCCCAGCTAATTTTTTTGTATTTTCAGTAGAGATGGGTTTTCACCATCTTGGCCAGGCTGGTCTTGAACTCCTGACCCCGTGATCTGCCTGCCTCCGCCTCCCCAAGTGCTGGGATTACAGGCGTGAGCCACCATGTCGGCCAAAGGCTGGGCGTAGGGAGTGGTTATCTTTTTTATTTTTAATTTTTTTTATTTATTTGTTTTGAGGCGGAGTCCTATTCTGTCGCCCAGACTGGAGTGCAGTGGCGTGATCCCGGCTCACTGCAGCGTCTGACTCCTGAGTTCAAGCGATTCTCCTGCCTCAGCCTCCCGAGTAGCTGGGATTACAAGCACGTGCCACCACGCCCGGCTAATTTTTTGGTATTTTTAGTAGAGACAGGGTTTCACCATGTTGGCAAGGCTGGTCTCGAACTCCTGGCCTCAGAAGAACCGCCCGCCCCGGGCTCCCCAAGTGCTGGGATCACAGTCGTGAGCCACCGTGCCCGGCCCCCATGGGTAAATTCTGAGAGCGTAGCTTCTGATCCTTCGTGGCTTTCTGCGTGATCGATCACGTTGTCAGCAGGTCCTCAGGCTTCTGTCTCCCTTCCCTGCTGGATGCCACCTTCAGTGAGACGTCCTCGTGCGCTGCCCCGAGTGCCATGCTTCGTACTCGCGGGTGGCTTCTACCCAGCTCGGGCGCTCCCTGCCCATCCTGGCCGAGTTATTTCTTAAACCGTGAGCTGAACTGAGTTTGAGAACGTTTGCTCTGTGTCTGCAGAAAGGGCCATGTGGTTCTCTCCTCTGTTCCAGTCCTGGGCTGGACCACACCTCGGGCTCTCGCATTAAGTCAGCCTGGCGTTCGGGGTGACCCCGTCATGCGCGCTCCCCGGCACATGTGGCAGAACCCAGCTGCCGGGGTCTTATCTGATCTGCATGTCCTCAGCTTCCCTCACCCGGCTCCAGGGCCTTCTCCGTTCCCGTCCTGCTCTCCAGGGGGCCCAGCAGTTTCCATGGCCCCCACGTCCCGGGGGAGTTCAGTGCTGAATCCACCAGGCACCTGTAGAGTCCCTGCTGGCAGCCGCCCCTCCCTGGCCTCCGACCCGACCCCAGCACATGACGGAGCCCGGGTGCGTCCCTGCTCCCCTGGGTGGGGTTGGGGCATCACCAGGCTCCAGGCCAAACCACGGGGCCCCCAGGTTTTTTCTGGAAACCTCCCTCCGGCCTCACTGGTGGCTCTATCCGTATGGGGCAGCGTCCCTGGTCGCACGTTTGCAGCACAGCGTGCACCATGAGGTGGGGTCGGCCTCCCAGGCGGGGCTGGAAAGAGGGGCGGGGCAGTGGGGGCTGTCGACGGAGGCCTAAAAAGCTGCAGGGAGGGCAGGGGCTTGGGGTCCTCGTGGTGGGGAGTGGGGTCTGGGCGAGAAGATGCTGATGAGGTTGCCGAGGGCACCGGGAGGTGCAGGTGAGGCTCAGGCCCATAAAGGCCTGGACAGCGGAGGACCCAGCCCTGGGGCTGCTCTGTGACCACAGCTGGAAGACGAGGCCCAGCTCCCAGGGCTGAGTGTGGAGGTGCTGCCAGGGGCCGAGGGGAGGGGCAGGCCACAGAGAAGGGACGGCGGTGAGCCCGGGCCAGGGTGGGCACCACTACAGCTGGCAGATGTATGTGTGCCCGAGGTGGGGAGGGCTCCCCCCAGGTCCAGAGGAGCCCTGGGCCTTGGGGGTCAGTGGGGGGGCTTCCCGGTGGGCTGTGCGGCAGCCACTGGCCCTGCACCTCCTCCCATGGCTGTTGTCTTGTCCCCGCAGGCCAGGACCCCCTCCTGCTCCTGCAGACCCTGCAGACCCTGTGGTCCACGCGGGAGCGGCAGCAGGTGAGTGGGTGTGGGGTCGAGTCACAGCTGGCAGAACTGGCTGTTAGGCAGAGACCCGATGTTCGTCTGAACGTTCCAGCTGCCGGCACAAGGGTGGCACAGAGCCCGGGCGAGGCTGGGTGGACCCTGGTGGCCGCAGGGCCCTGAGGCTCAGAGAAGGGGAAGGGCCTGCAGCCCACACACAGCCTCCGGGCCACGCCACGGACACCCATCCCGGCGTGGACGCCTCCCGGTCTGCACTGGCTCCACTTCCAGCTTCCTGCCACTGTCTGTGCATTCGCGTGGTGGGGGAGACGCCCTTCCATGCTCAGGGAGGGACTTTGGTGTGGAGACCTGGCGGGCTGTGGCCGCACCTGCTGAGCTGGGGCCTCTCCTCCCAGCGAGGGCCCCAGGGCTGGTGTTGGGGTGAGGAGCCTCCCTGGGTGGGAAGCTGTGCGGCCCCCATGGCCACAGGGTCCTGCCGTAGTGGCTGCCACAGGCTGTGTCTGGGTGGCTTGTGAAGGACGGTCTTCCTCATGTCCCCGGGGTGGGGAAGGCACCGCTGGCCCCAGCAGTGCCTCTGAGGTCACCTCTGGGAGGCACAGGGGCCACTCACCTGCAGGGACATGGCTGTCACCAGCACTGCCAGGCCTGAGGCCCCATCTGCCCACTGGCAGAGCACCCAGGCCCGGGTGATGGTTGGAGCAGGCGTTCAGGACAGGGAGGCCTTAGGAAGGTGGGGGGGCTTGAGCAGGGCAGGAGGCTGGGCAGGAGAGGCCAGGGAGAGGCTGCAGAGGGAGGCCGGCCACGGCGGGGTGGGGGGCAGATGCAGATTCCAGCTCCTTAGCCGCCACGGCCCGTGTATAGGAGGCTGCCAGTTCCTGAGTGCTGTGTCCACTGGCTGAGGTCACCCTCCAGCCCCAGCCCTGTGCTGCTCCTCCTTCGTCCGCCCCTCTCCTGTCCCTGCCGGATTTCACTTCCCATCAGTGCAGCAGCATTCCGGGCCTTGGGCTTGTGACTCTCCATCTCTGGCTTGTGAGTCTGTCTCTGGCCTGTGAGTCTGTCTCTGGCCCGTGAGTCTGTCTGTGGCCCGTGAGTCTCCGTCTGTGGCCCGTGAGTCTGTCTGTGGCCCGTGAGTCTCCGTCTCTGGCCCGTGAGTCTGTCTCTGGCCCGTGAGCCTGTCTCTGGCCCGTGAGTCTGTCTGTGGCCCGTGAGTCTGTCTGTGGCCCGTGAGCCTGTCTGTGGCCCGTGAGTCTGTCTGTGGCCCGTGAGTCTGTCTGTGGCCCATGAGTCTGTGGCCCGTGAGTCTGTCTCTGGCCCGTGAGTCTGTCTCTGGCCCGTGAGTCTCCGTCTCTGGCCCGTGAGTCTGTCT